TACTTTCTCATCGTTAGAGCCATAAACTTCGCTGGTCTCCATGTTCAAGCTTCCTCCGATGGATTTACGGTTGATTTTACCCCTCCCTTGGCAAGTACAGCAAGATTAGGAACTGGAATTGAGCCCGCCAAATACCAATCAGATTTGACGAAGTTGGTTGTAAGGTGCTGTACACAATTCGCATTTAGCTATTAGGATGAGATGTATTCTCGGTTACGATTAGACAATGACGTGGTGGCTGATATAGTTTTTAAGAAACTAGAGACTTGATTTAAAAAGGACTTAAGTTAATCCTTGTAAAATCAGCACATGTACATGTATATCTGTAAGAGTAGAAGTGTGTCAGTACGTTACAGATTCTTAGATACGATAATCAATATATATATTTAGTAATTAAAAATAGAGATTTTTCATCAATCGTGACGTGTTTTCTTTTGAAAGTTGTAGCCACATAATTTACCGTTGTATGGTAATCGCGATAATTAATGAGCTCGTCTAGAATTTACACGATTTCAACCCGAAAGTTGCTTAGCTCATACGAGTTATGATTTCATCATCGTACTAAACTACCTTATGTTTTCTCGCAGATGGGATCCATTTATTGACCCTGAAAGCAGAATTTCGGAGTATCAAGTATGCATCACGTCCGTGCCTGGGAACTGTACAATCACTAACTATATTGACGTTGGAATGAATACAAGCTTCACTTTCCATAGCTTACAACTTCTCCATGGTGAAGCTTATTATGCCCTTATCAAAGGAACAAACGAGATTGGATTATCTTCGGAGAGAACAACGAATCGATTATTGATCGATGCAACACCCCCTGTCTTAAAAGACACCGACAACGGTCCGATCAACACAACTCATGAAACTCCTGACGGAAACAATACCGTTAGCCCGGTGCTTCAATTGCCACCCAACAACACGACTCAAGGAAGCAATCATATACGATTCAGGTGCTTGGAAGAACTATTACAAGCTGACTGGGATGAATTCAAAGATCCAGAGAGCCAACTAGCGCGGTATGAATGGTGTGTCGGGACATCTCAAGGGCTCTGTGATATGGTAAATTTGAGGTCGGTGGATGTAAAGACAAAAGGAGCTGCTCTTGTGAAGAGACTCCCTTCAGGCACGTTGCTGTTTGCAACAGTATACGCCATCAATGGAGCAGGATTGAGGACTCGTTCGGTGTCTGAACATTGTAAGGTCATATCCATTGCACCTAAGGTTGTGGAAGTTATTGACATTCCTACATTGAACACGAGCAATCTCTCTGATATTGACTGGAAATCTATGGCGGAAAGCCTCTCACTCAGATGGGAGATGATTGGAAGATATGTTAACGATATTTCCCGTTTGCGTATTCAGGTAGCCATCACACAGCCTTCCTCGAACCTGTCTTTACCGCAGATTAACTCGGATAGGTCCTGGCGTAGCGAACCCCTAATACACAATTTCATGGACGTTTTGACATGGCAACGAAACGTGACTATCCAGGGTGTGGCTCTACAAGCATGGGAACGTTATCGAGGGGTTGTGAGGGTCTGGAACGAGGGAGGTATTTATAGTGAGTCCGCGAGTGATGGACTGAGAATCGAGCCCACTGCTCCTCCAAAGCGTGGATTATTTATTTCAGATAAAGCCGCTGAACAAGAGCCCCTACGTTGGCTTCCAAATCTTAGATTGCCCAAGGTTAACGACAGTGCATTAGACTCGGAGATAAAATATATTTCTTCCCCTGGGGAGGTAGAATTGATTGTGAGAAGCGGCTTAAATGACTCTAGCAATAGAACAGCTTTCATTTTGGATCACAAGCTTTTCAGCCCGACCAAGGAATTTAACATTATTGTCCAAAAAGTTACGTCTGAGGCCAATGAAACTAACACTACTGAGGATTTCAGCGTAATGAAAGTTTTCCCGGGTTTTACCAATCCCGAGGGTCCGTGTTGTACCAGGCGCCCAGTTGATCCACAATCTGTCTTCAGTGATACGCATTTCAAAACCGCCATACCGTCCCAGCATTTTGGTGTTTCTATCGCTAGACTACCAAACGATCATTTTGCTGTGGGTTCTGCAGATAAGGCGTTTGTTTTGCCCCTTCGAAACAGGGCCGCCAGCCACATAACATTGCTAGATGACATTGTTGGTTCTCCGACATCACCTATCATTGTAGTATCACACGGTAATAGGTCCGCATTCTTCGCCAATGGCAAAGCTTATATTTATCAAAGTGAAGTCATTGACACCGGCGACCTTGAATTAACGAAGACCGCAGTTCTGGGAAATTGCAAGACTGTATCAACTTATATTTGTGCTACAAACAACAAGTGGGCTGATAATGTGAAACATGCGATAGCCATTAGTCAAAATACGATCGCTTTGACGGGAATCAACTCATCTACGAACGCCAGTGTTGTGGGCGTATTCCAGGAGCGGAATGGAACGTGGTGGTTTGCTCAAGCATTGAGAAGAGGAAAGAGTGACTCTGACATTGGATTGTCTTTGACTTTGAATGCGCGCATCTTAGCAGTAGCTACAGGAGAAGGCAAGAATTCTTGTATCTCAGTATACTCTGTCGAATCTTTTACATTACACTTGACCATCTGCATGTCTGAGCTCGAAGATAATACAGGTTCTCTGTCACTTTATCTTACGGAGACTGACGCGCTAATAATGGTCTCTAAGGACTCCAAGTCATTAAAAGTTCTTCAGCTCAGCATTTCATCAAAGTCTTACAAAAATGTATGTCACCTTGATTTCACACCAAACGAACGTCTGAGTGGATACCTTGATGTCAGTGCTCGAGATGGAAGTTTTATTATCGCGTTAGGTATGCAGACATTAGATGGCCGGGATGGTGTGCAACTAGTAGGTTTCCATGGAATCTACACAGATCTTGATCTTGAAAAATGCGTAAACCTAGGACGTGTGGTCGCACGAGAAAGTGGATTTAGAGTAGATGATGGAATTCCACGTACTTCCGTGTCATTCGACAATGATACCGTTTTGTTTGGAGCCCCAAATGTTGTCACGTGGCCAGGACAGGGCGAGGATTCAGGTACTGGAAGGGTCTATGTGGCAACATATTGCCCTACCAATCATGTAAGAGTTCGAGTTTCTCAGATCAAGGAAATTGGTTCTGTACGTTGCGTGCCCTGCGAGGCTGGACAGAAGTCATTTGGCGGGTTTGTGGAAATGTGCTCAGATTGCGAAGGAATGTCTTGCTCAAAACCTCAAAGCGATGATCCGTTTAGTTTTAAATCAAGTATATGTGATTCTTTTTCCTGTCCTTCTGGATCGATGGTGAATAACTCGACAAATGGCATGAACTTTTCGTTCCCGAATGACTCATTTTTCGTCCCTGGTCCAGAAAACCTTTACACTATACAATTACTTGAAACAACACGAGCCTATCTTTCAACAAGTTCTCTCTCGGAGTCGTTCGTGATCGATCCGACATCCCCTGAGACTGGAATCGTCTACGATGGACTTGGCAGCGACCCAAATACAAACTGCTCGGACAATTCGACTTTCGGTGAAGACAGTCAGTGCTCTACTCGCAACTTTGAAGAAACTGATGTGGACTATACCAATAATACGCGAGAGGTACACGCCAGATGGCTTGACTTCCTCGACGAAGAAAGCGACATTGTAGAGTATTTCTGGTGTGTAGGATCTAAGCCTATGCATGACGACATTCGGCAGTGTGAAAGTACGGGATTGAGGCCAAACGGAAGTCATGACGGTCTTCACTTTGGGCAAGGTGACTCTTACTACGTGACAGTTGTAGCCTGCAATGGAGCTCGCAGATGTTCTGCCACTCACAGTGATGGCGTCACAATAGATACCACACCACCTGTGATGGAATATGTCAGGGATGGAATTATGGGGCCTGATATGGATTTTCAGGTATGAAAGCCTGACGCTAGAGTAAAGAATATTCTTCTGAGTTATTTCATAACCTGTTACATATTTTCTAAGATGAAATATTGTATTTGTCTCTCGCTATATC